CATTATGTTTGTTGTCTGTACCTCAGACTGTCCAGGAGCTCAGTGATGCCCTGGTGCAGATTTGGGAGGAGATCCTCCAGGATGCCCTCACAATGTCAGGGCATCCTCCATACAAGTTTCTGTTGTGATAAAAGTGATAAAGCAAGCTGTTCTTATGGTGCATAACCATGGTGGTTATGGTGGTAAGCGACTCAACTTCCTGTTGAAATGGATTTAAAGTGTTAATGAAGGTGGCAAGGTTGCCTCTCCGGTGGTCCTCCTTGGGCTTTTGCACCCTGTGTGTCACGGTCTGGCTAGGGCAGACCGTATATTGCAGGGAAGGACTCAAGCGCAGACCGAAATGGGATGTGAATAACAAAACAAGCCGTTTAATAAGGCAAGAAACAAGGGTACAAAATAATGGGGCATGGGTGAAAACTAAACAATAACCTAAACTGGGTGAACTAATAACAAAACATGAAAAACCTTAACCATAGCGAACTAACATGGGTACCTGGGGATGAGACATGGATGAGCAGTACAATGGGTGAAATGCAACAGACGACCTGACAACGAATGACTGAAGACACACAGACTAAATAGACACAGGAGGATAATCAGGAAAGTGGCAACACATGGGGAACCAGCTGACACACATGAACATAACGACGTAACACTGGAAGAGTAAAACTGAACACGATGAACACAGACACACCAGACCTCTTCACAATAAGACAGGAAACACAGTGAGATATAAACATAACAACCTGAACTGACAACAAACGCCACAGACATAAAGTACATGAAAGCAGGGGAGACTTAACATAGTGGAAAACACGAGGGGAAAATAACTAGAAACACCTAGGCATGATAATGATAAACCTAGGAAACTTGAAGGCAACAAAGAACTAAACACAAAACGCTGGGTCAGAGACCCAGGCCGTAACACTGTGGATGTCCTGGCCTGGGTTTCCTCCATGTCTGCTTCATGCTCTTGGGGGTGGGGCTATGGCTCCCCACACCACAGGGGTGGGCAACTCCAGGCCTCGAGGGCTGGTGTCCCTGCAGGTTTTAGATGTGTCCTTGAACCAACACAGCTGATTTAAATGGCTAAATTAGCTCCTCAACATGCCCTGAAGTTCTCCAGAGGCCTGGTAACGAACTAATCATGTGATTCAGGTGTGTTGACCCAAGGTGAGATCTAAAACCTGCAGGACACCAGCACTCGAGGCCTGGAGTTGTCTACCCCTGCTCTAGCAGATCGCTACATGGATAAACCTTTTGAACTCAAGCGCGATCATGCACACAGGTGTACACACGGATGCTCACTGACACAAACTACATCTTCCTTGGCTACTACCTTAAAGCATATCGTGCGCTGTCAGTCTTGCATGCTGCTCAATAACATTCAATATTTAGTATTTACTCTCACAGGTATCTAGGTTGTTACTTTGATCTCTGTATCGTATTCTTCTCTTGTTGTTCGTTTTCTTTTTTCTTCTTTTAGTAGTGTTGCAAAATCAATCAATGAGAACCCCATGACTGAACCCCATGACTGAACCCCATGACTGAGAACACATGAGAAAGCATCAGGGATACCGCCCCCTTCATGGCGTCAATTACAGATCAAAGATGTTGATTACAGTAAATGGTACATCTTAAATGGGGGCTGATGCTTGACTCCGGTCATCTGTTACCAAGTAAACTACAATGCAGTTAGAAGCTAAATGAATTTCAGGCCTTGGCCTGGCAGGTGTATGGATTCTGTGTGTTTGTAAGCGTGTATGCTGCCTTCTATGCTCTAAGTCTCCTACACAATAGATTGTGAAGTCATAGCGCTTCACAAAGCTTGAGACCTTCTTTAATAGACTGAACATCAACTCTGAATGAGCACAAACATGCAACGTGTATAAGATACTTCTGGCTGTACCTGTAATAAAAGGTTAACGTGGTGTCAATAGCTTTAATAAACATCTTTAATGCAATATCAAGGCTGTAGGATATATTATTAATGCAATGTTAATAATGCAGGTTATATTCTAGCAGTAAAATAATTTTCTGTATCTCCACAGTAGGTGATCCAACGGATTTTCTCAGTGTCTTCTCTTACTGCCCCCCTTCCCCTCTTTCTTTCTTTCTTTCTTTCTCACCCTTTCTGTCTATTTGTTTGTCCAATTTGTAATAACTTAAAATAAAATAAATAAATGAACAATAATAATACAGATCAATCAAGTGGACCACTTGAAAAAATAAATCCATTGGGCATCTTTCCTGCCCTTCAGTCAACAATTCTGATAGCTGAACAGGACAGGCACAAAAAACAAACAAACAAATTTATATGAAGTGAAAACTTACACTTTCCCCTCAAGTTGGATGACTGAAGAACAAAACTCACTATCACAGTCTACCAATAGAGGGCACAGTTGTATTAGTTAACTGCTCTTCTTCTCCTGCCTGGTTGTATCCTGCTCATGGACTCCTGCAGGATGCCAGCTTTAGTTCTCATGAGTGTGAATTATTTAGTTTGAGTGGCTGTGATGGGACAGAGATAAAGAAGAGGGTAGAGCTCCAAGGCCAGTTGAATGTGCCTACCCAACTTCTCAGGTTTAAGTTGGAGGTTTTTGGTTTGGTTTTTCTCAAAGTGAAATACAGGCCACCTGACAAAATGATTCCTGTTTTGACAAAATAATTACAACCGAGGAAGTTAATGTAATAAAGATCATAAACACAGACAAAGTGTTGTCACTGTACACTTAATGTGTACAGGTTTCACGACTGAGCCATCTAATCCCACCACACATTATATTTTGACAGGCTACCTCTGTTCCAGCTACTTACTTTATCTTTTTCACCTGAGGGGAGGACTGGCTTCAGTTGCTATAACACCTAACCACCCAATAGGCTTGTGAAACATGACCCTGCCTTCTTACCTTTCTGTGTGCCTGTTTACATTCATTTCCTCAGCAATACCCAGTGGCAGTGACTTTATGTGCAAGGGTTTGTGTCACGGACGTAGCACAGCTGCCTGTTCCCAGACCCTGATGTGGCATCTGATCCTCAAAAATAGAAAAAAAATATAACGGAAAAAAAAAAAAAGCCCTGCAAACATCTGTCACATGAGTCAGCTGAGGTTAGACATGCGAAGAAGACAGAGGGACTCCACACCTTACAGCTGTAATTCACTTAAGTCTCACATAGTTTAACCGAAAGCATCATTAACAGTCCTATCAGACTCAGTTCTTTATTCTAAGTCTCAGAATCTTGTGGGGAAGACCATCAGCCTTGGAAAGCCAAAGCAGTGCATCTTTAGAGGAACCCAAAGAAGCTTAGTACAGGGCTTTACAGTGAAAGTCATTTATCAAGAACAACCTGAGAACTAAGTATGAGTAAGATTCACTTGTGGCCATTTTATTAAGTAAACCTGTTCAATCACATGTTTATGTGAATATCTTGTTTGTTTCTTTGTTATTTTGATCATGTAAACAATATAGAGAATTTCATTTAGCAATAAAGAGAAAAATAATGCTAAACTAAAGCAGAACACATTTCAATATCGCTTCACCTCTTCTTATTCAGTAACATATGGAAAAGGAGTGGGAAGAAGTGCAAACTTATTAAATCCCACCGCTTCACCATAAATTATACGTTAATATTTATTCAGCTTCCTTATCGATATAATCTGCCGTAATAATAATGATGAGCTAATCACATGGCACCAACTCAATGGACAATCTGGTGAAGTTCACTCTGAGCATCGGAGTGGGGAAGAAAGGGCGTGGTTGTTGGTTTGTTTCAGAAACTGCTGATCTGTTGGGATTTTCCCCTCACACAACCATCTCTAAGGTTTACAGAGAATGCCCGAAAAGGAGGTCTGCCAGGAGAATGGATAGACTGCTTTGAGCTGAAATGAAAGCAATAGTAACACAAACAGACTAACATGCTAACTAAGGTACGCAGAAGAGCATCTCTGAACTCACAATGCGTCATGTGCGTGGCCTCAAAACTTTTGGTCAATAGAAGATAACGATTGGATGTCTGTGAAGGTTCTCAGTCATCCAGGTCATCGTAGTCTAAGGAGCTTGGAAAGAAAGATCAGAAAGAAAGATCCACTACCTAATCACATGAGCCAAATGTCAACTTTGACATCCTCGAAAGAGTGACCTTTTGACCCTAGAACTGAAGAAGCTTCTCGGATGAGAGGTGAAACGTCTTCAAGCAACTTAAAGAAGTCCAGACGCTTTTCTTTCCAAGCTCCTTAGATAACGATTGGATAAACATTGCCTGGTCCGAATTGTCTCGATTTTTGCTGCAACAGAAATCGTCATAATTGGCATAAACATCATGAAAAAATTGATTCATCCTGCCTTGCATCAACAGTTTAGGCTGGTAATCGTGGCGTAATGGTGTGGGGGATATTTTCTGGCATTCCTTGGGCTCTTTAGCTCGCTGTAGTCCATCCTGCTTCCAGCAGGATAAGGCACCATGCCGCAAAGCTGAAATCATGTCAAACTGGTTTCTTGAGCACAACGATGAACACACTGTACTTTGTCGGCCTCCACGGTCATCAGTTTTCAACCCAATAGAACACCTTTGGGATGGGATATGGTGGCATCATGGATGTGTAGCCAAGAAATCTGCAGAAACTGTGTGATGCTGTCATGTTAATATAGACTAAAACCTCTGAGGAATGATGAATCTGTAAGTGAAAGGGAGCCCAACCTGGTACTAGCATGGAGGAACTAATAAAGTGGCCAGCAAGAATCATGTCATACAAATGTGCATAAAACTGGGAGCTCAGACCTTAACCCTAAGTGTAGAACTATGAAATGAGTAACTTCCAGTTTGTGTTACTCATCATTTGTTAAACCGCTAAACGTTGATGTTACCACATTTGCTTGACTGGTGCACATGTTTGAACCAGCCATGCTCCCTTCCGTCAAACAGACACGCTAAGACAACGCAATTTAAAAATTCATCATGTCATTGTTTTTTAATTTTACAGTCATACAATCTTTTTTTTGTTTCTTTCCAGTGTCTCAAAACCATAAAAAATAAATATACATTATGTTACAAAACATTTCCAGTGTCTCAGATTATACAAAAACACACATCTTATCAACAGCATTGATTACATAAGAGCAAAACACTGGGCGTGTACAGGATGTAAGGTACAAAGGCATTTAGCGACTGTACATTGTAAAATGACCTTTTACTAGCTGCATAATGCTTCAGAGCTGCTGTCATTTTCAGTTTTAACCCACATTTGAAAACTTAGTGATTAAAAGGCAGCATCAATTACGCAATTTCTGAACAGACCTGCTTAGTCTGTTTCTTACTTTTACACTACAAAAGATCAACAAATGGCTTTTTTAAATTTTATTTTAAAGATTCTGCACTAAAACTGAGTTAAACCGAACTGACGGCCTACTCTAATCTGCTTATTCACCAGATCTCATTACTTTGGTAACCAGGAGTGTGTCTTGCATTGGATAAACAGGCCCGACAAACACTGGAAAACAAGGCTTCAGGTTCACAGTGCTCCAACTGCAAAGCTGAGTTTTCAGCAGAGGAGGAATTCCTCTTCATTCCACATAATTAAAGTTCATTTACAGCGTACTCTTGCGTGTGTGCATGCACTCAAACACAACAGCAGCAGCCTGTGAATGCACCGCCGTAGAGTGGAAGTCCACTGTAGCCTTTTACAGTATTGTGTGAGCTTGTAAGGCCTCGGTGCAGCATGAAGGCACGCAGCGCAGATTTGTTGTTCTCTGACTGTTAAACCGGCGTACGATGTGATTTCTGTTCTTTTTTTTCCACTACTGTGTTCTTGCTAAAACTGACATAGAAAATAGATCATTTCTTCTTCACTTTTTAAAATTATCTACATGTTACTTACACTCTAAATACACTGCACCGAGAGGCTGTGGAAGCCTTTCTTTAATTAAAACAAAAAAGAAAAGCACTTTGTGTTTCATAGCTCTGCCCAGCATGAACTGGAGCATGTGTGTGTGAGACTTCTGAGGGACCTGCAGTCTTTGAAATCATTTTACTGTGACGGTACCAGCCTTTAGAGGTTCGTGAACAGTGATTATTACATCTGACACTTTGCTAACTTCACCTAAAGAAACAGAACATAACGATGTGCTCCTCGCCAACACTAGAGAAGAGCTTCATGTTAGGGCCCACAATGCATTCTGGGTGTCATTCTTCATCTTCCGACTCTTCCTAATGATTTCCATTAGTGGTTTTGGCACACGTGGCTCAACCGTGTCTTTACACAGTCCAGCACAGCGTTCCCTTTGTTATCGCTCACATCTCTGCTTATTTTCTCATCTAAGGCAGTCCTAACGTCTGCAATTAATACTGCTCGCCCGAGAAAGGAAACATGACGGGAGCGGCGATGCTGACAGGATCAGGCTTCTCTTCATCCATCCTTTAACACCTCTCCATCTTGCAACTTTTCCTTTCATGTTCCTCGACTCTTGGTCCCCTCAGCCCCGACCTGGCAGGTTGTTTAGCTCCTCCTCTCATAAAGGCAGGCTGGTCTGGGTTTGCCTAACAGGTCAGATCGAAGTCTCGTTACTGCCACTGTTAACAGAGGGGAACAAAAGGACAGGAGGGAGAGGAGAGGGAGGGGGATGCAAAGAGAAAGAAAAGAGGGGAACATGCAAGGTAAAATGAGTGCAGGGATGCGGGAGGGTCCTCATGCAGCATTTAATCAGGATGGTCGCAGTATTTCATGCTCGAGTTAAAGAAATATAGTCATTAAGAGGATTGTTAACACATTTACAGTTTAAAAACCAGGATAGCTTTATCCCAGTTATACTGGACATAAGGGTGCCATCAGTTTTCTCAACTTACTCGCAACAACAAAGCCTTTATGATGCATGCAATATTGCATTAGTTGGCACTGTGATCAGCTTGATTGTTGCTCATTTAACTGTAAATAGTGCTTGCTTGCAAGGTTTTTAAACTTCTACGATCACTGTTAAACTGATTTCAAATCTTTTATTTGTTGGACACACGCTCAGGTGTACTGAGCTGCACCGTTAGTGAGACCTCTCAGTTTCACATACTTGAGGGGTAAGGGTGCTCTGTAGAAAACTGCTCAACATCAATTTCTAGGGGGTTAGACAAAGTGCTCCACATTTAAAATGTCAGTCACAATAGGGCCACACTCGTTTGTGTAAAACTGTCATGGCAGCACCTCGGCAGTTTTGTAAAACTTGCAAGTGTCTACAGTCACGGGGAGTCTGCAGCAACTTCCAGAAATCACACTGCAGTTTCCCCTGGAACTGCATGTATTAGTCACTACTGTTGCCATTAGTGCTAAAAACAAGCAGTATTCTTTTCTTACTCTGAGTCTGACTCATTGCCTCCGTTGACCGTCCCAGACTTCAAGTGCATGGCAACTCCGCCATTTGTCTCCCGGTAGATACCCCCTGGAGGAATCTGAGGTCGTGGGGCGACAGGCGGTTTGATGGGGGAGCCGCTCTCGTGGTTGCCGAGTCGGCTTCCTTCGTTGGCCTCCAACGAAGGCGTCCGGGACGACGGGGTCATGATGTTGACGGAGGGAGGGGCTGGGGAGGTGGTGTTGTTGTTGTTGGGGGGAGGGGAGGTGATGGTGGGCGAGTTGTAGTCGCTCAGCTTCTCCCTCAGACGGTTCTTCATGTTCTTGTCGGTCAGCGGAGGAGGGTAGCTGATCTTGTTCTTCAAGATGCCTGAGTGAGACGAGTGATTTGTGTGAGCAAGCGTGACATAAAGTCGATTCAGATCGGCTCTAAACACTTCTCCCCTCACCTTTTCTCTGCTCTGGCTGGTGGTTGCTGTTAGGCTGACTGGCAGGCGCTGAGTCTTTCATACTGGTAGGAGTCTGTCTCTCTCTCTCCTGCAGAGCCTCCCTCTCTCTTTCACCAACGTGGTTGAGCTTGTTCTCTGGGTGCAGCTCCACGTTCACCTTGGTCTCCACCCTCAGCCTCTCTGTCCCACCGGGGTCCTCGCTGTCACTGGCTGTAATGGCATCTGTTGGCCAGTAAGGCTTCACGTGATTAGATGTTGATTGCCCTGCTGAGAAGGGAAGAGAAAACTTCAATTTAATTCAACATCATATGAAGAAAAAGTGTTCATTAGAGCAAAAAGATGATCTCTTAAAGGCACAGTCGATCATTTTTTGATAATTTAACGGAAAAAAACAATGCTACGAGGGCAATCCCAAAAGTAAGGTCTCCTATTATTTTAGAAATACAAACAACCATTTATTTTCCATAATATTTACATCATTTTAAAGCTTAAAGACTTATTTATTTCTATAAATAATCGCTATTTTGGTCGATGCATTTTTGTAAACGCTGCGGCAGTCATACCCTTGTAGGGTGAGGTGGGTGATGAAGTTCCAACCAAAGTTTTGCAGGAGAGTGACAGTTTGAGCAACGTGTGGATGCGTGGTGTTGTGGAGAATACTTACGCCCTTGCTCAGCATTCATCTTCTCTGGTTCTGAAATGCCCTTCTCAGATTTTCCCAGTACCTGTCAGCATGTATTGTGGTCCCAACAGGCAGGAAGTAAACCAACAATACCACCTTTTGGTCCCAAAACACAGATGCGCACTGTGCGTAAGCATTCTCCACAACACCTGCAAAACTTTGGTTGGAACTTCATCACCCACCCACCCTACAGTCCAGACTTCGCACCCAGTGAGTACAACCTGTTCCCAAAGTTGAAAGAACATTTGTCCGGAAGGCGATTCTGCGGCGGCGGCTAGCGGGTATGACATGGGCATTGTATAACTGTCACAGAGTCTACAAAAATTTATAGACCGAAATAGCAATTATGTAGAAAAATAAACAAGCCTTTAAACTTTATGATGTAAATATTATGGAAAATAAACTGTTGTTTGTATTTCTATAATAATAGGAGCCCTTACTTTTGGGTTTGCCCTCCTATAACAATGAAGAATGCTCATAAATTATTAAATTATTAAAGTGAAAGAAAACTAGTTCTCACAAAATGTCATAAAATACGCAAGCTTATTTGTGTCCAAGTTACATGTACTTCAAAGAGAGTTTCACAAGTGCCAGCTAACAGCAGCTAACAGAGGCTAAGAGGAGCTAACAGAGGCTAAGAGGAGCTAACAGAGGCTAACAGCATCGCTTACCAACAGAAAAGTTGCTCAAAAATCCTCAAAAACTCACCTCAGTATCACTGTCGTTGGACAAAAGTGAACTTCACTGATTTATATCAGACTCCTTTCAAAAAGTTTTACAGTCTTGCTCAGAGAAAATAAATGTGGACACTTTTCACCCTGCATTGACAGCTGAGGTAAACAGTAGACTAAATGACAGCCTACACAGTTACTTTGTACACTACAGATGGTTTTAAGGTGACAAGGGGTAAAAACGTATTACTGCAAAATATATAATTAACCACATCTAATTTTTATTTCCCAATTTATTGCCGATGTAACAGAACTCAGCTGACAGTAATCTGCAATCTACTGAATCTTCTGCAATCTGTAGTGGGGAGAATTTTACACGCTGTAACTTTAAGAGACTTGTGCATTTACCTTTTGGAGTGCTGTGAAGAGGCCTCTCGTTGTTCCACTTTGGCTTGACATCAATATCATTATCCTCGCTGTCGGAGGAGTGGGAGGAGGCATAGGAGGAGCTGTGTTCATCTACTGAAAGCTCGCTGTCTGAGTCAGAGTCTAATTGAAGAAATGATGGCGAAACAGACCAGTGAACAAATACAGTACATCAGTAAAACAGACCTGGAAATGAAACATTGGAAATGCAATTCAATATAAAAAGCTTACCATCTCCTTTGGTGCCATTTCTATGGAACAGAGGTCCATCCAGGTCCGTGTGGCCTTTAGCTGTTCCTGAAGAGCCACTGGGCTTCTGACCAGACTCCTCCCTAGAAAAACCAAGGACGGCATAGGCAGGCAAGAGAGAAACAGGAGCAGATGAACAGAGGTGTAGATTTAGAGGAGACACAGAGGGGAAGTACATCATTGCTGGAAGTTAATTCAAGCCCCAACTTGTGGTTTTACACAACTGATGTTTAACAGCTGATGCAGCAGACATCTCTCATTACAAAACATCTGGTACTGTTGATTGCCTTGACACAGACAAAGCGAATATGACATTTAGTTTGTGTGTGCTGCTGTTTGTCTAATGTCAGAAAGTCCCAGCTTGATCATTAATACTGAAAAAAATCGAATACAGGTTTACCCTCTCTTCATCAGTTACCGGTCGTGGTATAATTATTGCAAGAATTCAGAATTTTAGCATGTTTAGTAATCATTTAATGGATCAAAATGACAAATGGGTAACGTTTTTCTCTCCTCTCCCGTCCTCTCTGTCTGAAGCCGTTTATTCCAGGTTGGAATGAGAACTTGGCTGGAGGGCAAAAACTGCTACTAGAGACTCTGACCTGTCTGATGGCTGATCTAAGAGAAGCTTCTGGAAGCAGCTGAAGACGTGCCAACAGCTCCAGGGAAGAGGTATGCACGTCTACATTACATTCCTACCTCAACAGGTATAATTCCATCCCCCCTTCGTTTCTGCTTTTTTCTTTCCACATCTCTCCATTATTTTTCTCCTCTTCCTCTCTTTATAGTTTCCCCACTTTTTGCTCTCTTATCTGCTTCTTTCTACGCCTCACCTACAGGCAGCTCGCCACATTTCTTCCCCACAGCGTTACTACTCTTATTGACCCTAGAGTCAGCTCTTATTACCCAGATGACAGCTTTACGGGCTAGGCGTACAGTCAGACGAAAGTGTGATACTGTAAAGCGCTTAAAAACACCAGGTATATGAAACACAAGCCTACTGTAATGAAAGCATGTCAGTGAACACTGAACAGATACAGCTTGTAGAAGAGGGGAGATTAGCTTAAGATGACAAACATCTATATTTTGGCGCAGATTCATCTTTCAATGTCAACCTTTATAGATATATCGAGAACACACCTGTCACACAGTCAAACTTAGCTTTCTGATTTAGCTGTCCTGCTCAAGATCAAACATGCTAGTAGTCTGTAGCTAGCTTGGACCACAAAGCTATATAATTATTATTGTGATGTATTAATGTTATGTCTTTAGTAAGTTCAGTTTGAAGTACAATAATTTCCAGCAAATTTCAACTGCAGAACATTGCAATAACGCATGTATTTAGAAATACCAAGCTAAAATTTTACTAGCTAAACCTGCGTTACTTTAGCAACATATGTAAAACTAATGGAGTTGGCAAGAACACCGTGACGGTTAAATTTTGAGATTAAATTTCATTCAGTCTTATCATCTTATACCAATATGTTCTCACTCCCAAAGTGCCAGGTGACAAATCTTCATTATATTACGCTTCTGGGCACCCAACACGTCCCCATATTACGAGATTGGAAAAATGATGAAACATGAGAACCGTTTGGAATGAATCCACACATGTACGTTTTACTTAAATCGTTTTGTAAAACACTATCTAACGTCATTAAAGTGGTGGTTAAGGTTAGGGATAAGGTTAGGGTTAGGGCTGGAATACATGGCTGGAACGTCTATTACCACGGGATCGTCGTTCTACTGGATTTCATCCACAATCCGGCGGGTAGCATAGGAACGCGGAAAGTCGCCTTTTGCGTTCTCATGGAAATCAACAAATCGCCGGTATATTACATCTCAGGAGTGAGAATGGGCTCCTTATACATAAACTCTAAAGCACATGGACTCTGTCTCCTCTGTGCTAAAAACTAACGTTAAGTACAATAGAAAAGAAAGCTTTACACATTTTGGCAGCACCTACAGTAGTGTGAAAAAAGATTTATGTCTAATTTTTTGCATATTTGTCATGCTTATGTTTTAGATCAAAGAAATTTTAATATCAGACAAAGATAAATCGAGTAAATACAAAAGGCAGATTTTGAATCATGATTTCTTTTATTAGGTTTGGCTTATTTCCCTTAATAAATCCACTCATCATTTGAAAACTGCATTTTGCATTTACTCGGGTTAGAAAGGAAGCAAATACTTTTTCACAATGCTGAGGATAAAACTAGTGCTTTGCAAAACAATTCTACCTAATGCTACAACCGCCATCATGAAAGTTGTAATATTTCATTCCATTTTTTGTTAAAAGCACAAGAAAATCATGTGAATGTTCAACACTTTTAAATCAGTCACATTACCATGAAATTACTGCATTTGCTGCTAAAGCAATAAACATACATAGCATAAGTTTGTACTATAGAAAATGTACCACATCAAATTTCACATAAGCAATAGTAGAATCTAATCGTCTAATTTAATAACACAGTAATATGGAGGAATATATGTCTATTTGTGTGCATTTAGTTTTTTGCAAACAGGCCATGTGCCATGCATTGGCAAATGTCAGTAAAATTTTCATGCAGAAGGTGCCAATATGTGGCAGAATGCATGTGGTGTAAGAAACAAGATACCTTTGGAGAATAAGGTGGACAGGGCGTGTGTATACTTATGCAGCGTGTGTGTGTGTGTGATGCAGTAAGGTGTGTTAGTCAGCGTGAGACTTCTGCATCTCAGACATGCAAAAAGGGCACCAAAGAGAGAAATCTGAAAGGAATACCAAGACACGCTCATCACACAGCAGAGTGCAAAAAGCCATGCAGTCAGTCAGCGTGTTGTACCTGAGTGTGTAAGCCAGGTAGCTACTGCGGCTCTTGGCTGACCTGTCCAGTGAGACGGTAGACTCGCCAATGCCTGAACGGTACACTGCGCCGTCCTCTGTGTACATGTTGTTGCAGTTGAGAGAGCGCTGAAGATGGAGGAATATAACAAAGGTTATATTTTAAACAAGAGCTATGTGACCGAAAACCAAATTAAACAAAAGAGCATATAAAGAAATAAGAAACAATGTTGAATAACTTGATGAAATCTTAAAGATACATATTTAAATGTATCGATATATATGTATAGGGATGGGGATTGAGAAGAATTCAGCGATTCCATTATTGATATCACTTATCGATTCTCATTGGCGCCATTTTGAGAGAAACCACCATTGCTAAGGAGCAATAAAGAAATTACATTCATTCAAATGAATTGCATGCTGTGGTTTGAATGTTTGTTGAGGTACTTCCCCTCTTTGTTGGAGTCATTACTTAAAAAAACCCAACACAAATCTCTTATGAGGACACACATCTCTAATAAAAAGCTGACTGCACAAAGCCAAGATGTAAACCAGCACAAAAGAGCGATCTCCATAGTGATACTGCTTTAGAAACGTGAACAGGTAGAAAGGGAGCAGCCTGACTGCTCATCTCGTTGTTGCCTGTTGAAGTTAAGGGTCTGGCTGTTGGGGTTGCGATTCACTCAGCTTTCGCTCTAAGTTCTTAGTAAGCTTAGCATCAGCATGCTGTCGGCAGATGCTTATAAAGAACCGAAGTTGTGTTAGCAGCATTATGCGGTTGTTTCCCGCCTGGATGCAGTTTTCCACTTTACCATTTATTTTATTTATTTTAGTGCAACAAAAATAAAATAAATGTCCACATTACCAGAGGCCTGGTAATGAACTAATAATTTGATTCAGGTGAGTTGACCCAGGGTGATATCTAAAACCTGTAGGACACCGGCCCTTGAGGCCTGGAGTTGGACACTCCTGCTCTATACTGAGTCGCTTTTTTCCTCCTCTGACACTTGAACTGAAATCAGCTGATTGTAGTGTGAGTGCAACTGATGAGTGCGATCAGTAGGCAGGCATGCCAACTGCTAACCGGTTTTCCACAAGAACCGGTTCTCGATTCCCATCCCTACTATATGCATGTATATAAAGTAAATGTTTGTTCACTTACTGTTAGCAAAGAGCCCCTTGTGGTGCTGGACTCGTCTTGTATGCTCTTCTTTCCTTTGAAGATGTTCTTGAGGTTTTTCCTCACCTCTTTGTTGAAGACCACATGGAACAAGAAAATGAAGACTCCCTGAAAAAAAAGCAGGAGAACGTATGTATGTATGTATTGCTGAGGAGAGTAAATAATCAAATGTGAATTGTTTTCAAAAGTGTGTGTGGATTATCTGTGCATCCAGAGCTCAGTGTGGGGTTAGCAGATACCTGCAAGCAGCTGAAGACAGCAAACAGGTAATGGAAAGTCATTACATTGCTGTTGACTGCCATTAGACCGAGCAGCCAGGTGGCACTGATGAGCACCAGGAGGAGGAAGGCCATACGTAGGGCAGGACTGCGTTGGGAAACATAAAAGTTTTAATAATGGTATAAAAAGCCAAACTCAAGGTAGCAACTGGATCCTTTGATGTATGTGAAATGGCTAATGTGATGTGGGAACCTACATAGCTCCTGACTTCTCTACAGCCTTCTGTCTCCGACCACAGGAAGCCTTGGCAGCGAGAACAAAGATCACTATGTTCACCTGTAAGGGGAAGGAAAATGTGGAGAATTTTAACTAATATGAATATAAATAAATAAATCTATGAAAAGCTCTTTTTACTCAACTGCTGATTGAGACATAATTAGCGTCTTTTATTATTTTAATGATATGTATGCATTGAGTCCATAGTAACTACATAAATTGCAAAAAAGTGCAATAAACTACAAAAAATTGAAAATCGTTTTTGTTGTTATTACATATATTTCTAGTTAGAGAAATTTAAGAGGTTTATCCCTCAAAACTGTAAATACAAAAAAGTTGTACGAAATAGTTTCTAGCCACAGGAAACTTATTTTGAGCATCTTCATAGTTTTATTTTTGAGATACACCAATTTTTATGTACTGCAGGAAAAACAAAAATAAATATTATAATGCAAATTTGCAAAAACACAGCATGTGCATCAAAATAAACTATTTCCAGCAGTGCAATTTGAGTTCTAAGCATCCCAGAAACGATACAGGAAAGCACAATGTCAAACATGACTTTTGAAAACACCAATCTAGCCTTATAAAGTTCTGAAGGAAAAAAACAACTACATTCTCCATGAAAATTATGTCACTTCCGGTTTCGGGCAGGTAATGGCGGATGATAGTTCGTGCTGACGTCTATTCCAACATAGGAAGTGTTACAAACAACTGAACGGATCGGCAAAGCGTGTTTCTGGAATGGATGTGGAAGGAAACCGTGACCTAGGACAAACTGATGGTACAAGATGTAAGTACAACTCCTCCGGTTTGATATGCAAAAAAATTTTTTGCGCTAGCTTACGTGGTTGCAGTTCTACTGGGATTTAAAAATAGTTACGCAAAACGGGGCATCCCCGTCACCGGTCTTAAAGGGTTAAAAGAGATATTGGACATACCAGCACGACTACAAAGATGGGCCCTGCAAAGCTCCAGATGAGTGTGTCATGGACAGAAAGCCAACAAAAATCTGGGTTTCCATAACCCTGAGGATCGAGGCCAACTGCCAAACCTACACACAAACACAATGAAAACACAGTGGAGAAATAACATTTTGATCAAATCAGTCTGACTTTATTTTATTAAAATATTTTGGATTCTTTTTTTCAGTTACACATCATAATCGCTCACTAATTTTGTCACATTTGGACCTCCGTATGTATTTTATATATCTATTTGCCTCTTCCAAAAACATAATCCAAGCATCCAGTGCTGACGAAATCACTATATCACACAGCATCTGGTAAGTGTTTAACAAATTTTATAAAAGTGACACAAGAGTAGCCCTAAAAGGAGGAATCAGACAGAAGGAAAACATATAAACATGATACAAATTGTTTAAATTATATATATATTATTTTTACGCCCTTCTTTTTTTCTCATTTTGACACAATGTGAGCATCTAAGTAACAACCATTTCCTTTTCATTGTTTCTCCTGCTGTCTCATTCAGCGATCTTCCCACAGGGATCGTAGCCTTTTCAGAAAAGACGAGTCATGACACGAGTCTCCCGACAATCTGCCATCTCCTATCGCACTGTTGCTTGTCCTGGCGAACATGTGTGAGTGTAACTCACCAGTGATGATAGCCGGTATGCCCCAGCCCATGGCGTAGTAGAACCTCATGTGACCGTAGTTGATGTTCCGCAGCTCGGTCAGCATGCGGTAGATATGCAGCCCCTCCACGAACATCCAGGCAAAGGTGCACATGTAGAAGTAATGGAGGAGGATGGCGATCACGGTGCACACAAACTGCGAGTTTGTAGGACGGGAGAAAAGAAGAGAGCGCCAGATTTTTAGGTATAGCACAGTATCGGCTACTTTGGTTCTGCAGTACCATTAAATCTATATATCAGTGCACGAATCATCCAGCCTTTCAAAATAAGACAATTTTCTGTTTGTTCATCTTTGGATATTCAAGCAGACAACCGGGAAATAAACCATCCAATTTTTGAATATTTTTTAAAATCTTGAAAGCCTTGTCAATAAACTATTCAATTTGTCAAAAAAAGCGATAAATTCGTGAACTGACAGTAAACGTTTTTATGTCACAACGTCTTTTCGTAACACGGCAATGATTCAAACTGTCCCCACATTCCTGTATCTCCCCTCCTCCCATTTTGTGCTGTCTGGTGCTACAGTAGAAGAATGGTGTGTGTCAGTGAATGCTGAGATACGGTGTATTTTACTAATGTTTTGTATTGCTGTGGAGATCAGAGGAGAAGAAGGAGAAACTACTTTGACAGCGTTATAAATCATCCCCGGAGATGGCCCTGGGCACACACCGACAGCATTCCACTGCTCTGATGCACGTTTACCTACACACACACCTAAACTTTGCACGCACACTAGCAAGCGCTTAGCAAATCAAAGAGATGCAAAAAAAACCCCAAAAACCCCAAAGAGATTAAACTTTCTCTTTTAAGCATCTCCTTGCAGACTTGGCTTCCGCTCCACAAAACAATACTCCATAAATATAAAGCAGCATGTGCTTTTACCACCTCATCCCAGTCAAAACATGGTGAGTCAGAACATTTGTACAGACCCAAAGACAAAACTCCCACAACTCCTCTGGCGCCTGTAAACTTACTCGCTTCTCTTTCGCTGTGGTGCATGTGCACATTTGTACTTTAGGGTAGCCACAGTTGAGAAAAGGGCAGTTAGCGATGAATACCGATACTCAAGCCGGTTCTGTCAGTCAAATCCAACTGTAAGCTCAGCAGTGCATATGTGTGCATGTGTTTATTTTGACATCTGCAGATATCCTTTTCTTTTAGATTTATAGCAAGTTTATAGAAATGTGAAGGGGCTGCTGAATCACTCGTTGTAATATTCATTTATGGGACCTAACCTTGAAATACGAGGCTGATTTGACATCTTCTGTCATGTGAATGATGAGGTGTGAGATAGTCGTAAATAAAGCACAAACCACCAGGGCTATGTCTCTTGAACAGGCTTCGCTTTCATCCCCGATTCATTACCACTGCAAGTACTGTTCAGAAGCACATGTATATCTGTTTGACAGCTGGGGGTGGTAGTTACAACCCTCCATGGAGTTACAGGACTGACAGTGCGTCTCCCGATGCCTTGGGTTAAAACATCTGGTTTAACCAGACTACGTAAAGCTGACTCATTCACCTTTAACATGTTGTACTTACAAGGGTTAAGCTTTGAGGTGCTAGTTGTCCTTTTGAGCTGCTACTTATAGGCGGCGCTAGGATCACAAACCAGCACACAGAGATAAGTAAGGCAATGATCTTCTCTAACTCTTGGCTAAAGGGCAAAAAAGTACACCTTTAAATGTATCCTTATAGCTCCCTTTTTAAACCTGATTTCTTCTACTTGTCAATTAAGAGATTAATGGTGTTGTCTGTACCACAGACATTTGAGATTTTTTATCAAGTAAAAACTAAAGCTGTTTTGGGAAAACCCTTGCCAGGACTTACCACCCTGAGGCCAGCTTTTAGAGACAGGTACCAGTCACAGCACGTCTCCACTACTGGCCCACAGAGGTTTGTGTATGTGTGTGTCAACAGACTTCAAAGATATCCGATACCTTTTGATCCTTTACTGTATGTATATGGAACTGAGAGTAGTTACTAGCCATATCAGTGACTAACAAAGGCTTTTAACTCAATTAAGGTAGACTACATCCTCACATAAGATTTATCCAGGAATGGCAGCTCACTAACATGAACTTACACGAGGTTATATTGGAAAAGCAGTTTGGTAAATAGCACATTCCTGACTATTACAGTCATTAGTCGACAATCACAACACATAATCTGTCAGATAAAGAAAGACTCTCAGGTAGGTCTTGGCCCATTAAGTCTTGTACTGCTCTTGTCAACCCAGCGTTAGAGGGCTGCCTGAAGGAAAAACAAATATGGTAGACTTCATGGAAGCTCTGATAAAGTAAACACCAGAGAGAAAGCTCTTTATCCCGCATCTCAGATGCCCCACACCACTCATGTTTGTAGCACATGACTTCATGGTCTGGTTTTTAGACCATGTACATATGTACTCTATCTTGCTTTACATGGTAACGATCAGAATTTAATCATGGTGTAATTTCTCCACCAGTAGTTTCTTATTATATACCGATCTTTCATAATGGAAACTACAACTCACTAAATAAAAGAGAAATGAGCCAGATTCACAGTGTCAAGAGTCTAATCCTAGAAATATTCCTACTGTGTGTCAACCAACCCACCTTTGTAGGGAATACTTCAGTATTCCCTACAAAGGTGGGTTGTGCAGTTTCTTCTTTTAAGTTGTTAAATTGCAGCTGTGTATTTGGGGATGCTGTCTGCCAAATCCTGCACGTATGAAGGGAATCTGTAAAGAAATTACACGCATGGTTCGTTGGCTTTGTAACTGATCGTGCAGCTGCTGTGATGGGCTGTAGAGAGGAGCAGCCACACTCCTGAGTGAAAAGATCAGTTCTAATCTGACAGTGCATCATTCACAAGCTGGAACCTGCAGTCCAGCATGCTGTAAAACACTACACAGAGACATTTTCAAATATGCATTAACTCTTAATCGCAAAGGTTTGCTACTGATCAAAGATTTCCAGATGTGGGTAACAGAGGGCAATGCAGATGACGATCTGCAGGAAAGGAGAAAAAGCCCATCATCAAAGCAGATTGGGATCTTAGGAATATAGAGGAATGTTTGTTAATTTATATAGCAATGGTATTTTGAGATTATTTCACATTAAATATATACTCATTTAAGCTGCTATCTTGTCAAAAGGTGTCACTACAGCAAACAATCCACATGTTCAGGTGTGTTACACTGGATCCTGTTCATGACACAACCTCGTAGGGGATTTGAATCTACAGCTGGAACTAAACCAGCCTACACTATGGAGCCACACACCATTACACACTGCAGTTAAATGGAACAGCTGCACAAATAATGCTAAATACAGGACAGATTTAATTCTGGCATGTTAATATCTTTGTATTTCTTGAATTAATCAAATATGTCTGAAGAGGAAAACATGAATCTGAGAATACTGCACACATTAATTTACCTTTTCTGTTTTTTTTAAGCAGTAGTTATATATTTAAAGTTTTAGTTCAAGTCATGGATTCCTGCAAAATCCAGGTCAACTTCAGCAAGAATTCTGTGGCAGAGGTCATTTTTGGCTTTTTTTGGCTTTGGCTTTTTACCTTAATAACAACAAACAAACAAACAAACAAACACTTTATTAGCTAAAAAAAGATAGCTAACAGGGGGATGCATACACTGTGACATTTATATAGTTCAACTCACCGCTTAGTAATGAATGAAGAATTTGAAAAACTGTTGATGGTCAATAACTTTTCAATGGTAAGCCAACAGTAAATGATAATTATAACTAATTATCCAAATATTTAATAAACACTGCTAGCTAAAATGTCCACCTCTGAGAAACTGAAGCAAACTAGAATCTAATCATTGTCATAATTCGCTTCAATTAGGAGAAAGATTATTGTTGATGAAGAAATATTCATATGACATAGGAAGCTCACATGACAGAGCTACAGGACATCTGACAAAGACGGCTGGGAATAACCGTGCAGGATAAAAAACACTTTGCAGGGAAAAAATAATGCACTTACCACATTGTCAGTCTGGTTGATGCCCAGGAGGAAGACAAGCTCGGAGAAGAAGAGCGCTGCCACCAGGTTCCTGTGGATGGCGTGGAGGTTGGTACGGAGCCTGCGCAAGAGGCACAGCAGGATGAAGGTGATCAGGAGAAGAAACAGGGACACGGAGACTGTGGTGTACGTGACGATCTTCAGAGGCAGGACATCGCCGTGCTGTGGAGAGCAGTTCCAAGACAGCGAGTTGGTGATCAGTAACAACCACTAGGTGTTTTAAAACGAAGCTGAAATGAGGTAAGTTTTAAGCGCTACCTCTCTTTTGGAAATGTCCATCAACACAGCAAAACTGGTCATGTGGTTACACTGACAGCTAATGTGGGTGTTGTTCCTGTTGAGCACCTCGCAGCCTTTAGAGGACCAGCCGCCTGCGCCTCCGCTCCTAAACACGCCAACGAACACAAGCACAGGTGAGACCAGTAATGTATACTCTTAAAGCCATGTGAAAACAATGCATTTAACTACAATGTATTTCAAATTTAACTCACCCGACTGAGTGGTCCCAGAACACGCAGACGGGTTTGGTTCGCTCCTCTGTCTCCAGCAGGGTGTACTCCAAGATGACCGGGGGGTCCAGGACGGTAGGAAGAGGCTGACCTTCGCTGTGGATCGTGGCGCTCACGATGGCTGTGTTGATCACCGGACGGTTGGGGACTCTGGAAATACATATTGTACACTAACATTCGCATAAAGTTTTCTCTGCACCTTCTGGTGTTCACCACTTGTTCATTCTGAGCAAGAAGTAATAGCAGTAGATGGCTTTCACAGAGGTCAGCCATAGTTTACCTCAGACTCCTGCGGTCTGCGTCGTATCTTTCTGGAAGGAGCTTTCCCAGCGACTTGTACACTATCACCACAGCAACAGGCAGAGGGGCAGGTGGCTCGAGATGGCGGCGTTTCCTATCTGAAACTGTGTGCTCCTCCTCGAGGACAGCTTCTGTCTGAGCTGGAGGGGCAGGAGTGGGCTCTGCTGATGTCAGAAAGAAAGAAGATGAAGCTTTAAAAGCAGAAACAAATTTAATTGAGGTCTGATTGAGGCATCGTTCCCACCTTTGTTTCCCTGAGTACCGATATTAAACTGTGGGAAGCGGACAGAAGACCCGAGCTCTTTGGGGTAGGCCTCCTGGATTTCCTGGAAGCGAGGAAATGTCGCCCTCTCTGGGTTCGACACATCCAAGTAGTCCACAGTTAGAACTGAAATAAACAGGAGACACAGTAAAGACTTGTGTTATCGTTTTTTTCCCGCAGCTGAAGCACAATTCAATTACAGTTTGGAGACTCACTCATGTTTTCAGTGACGATGGTGAAGGGCTTCAGGTAGGTTTTCCGGACATTCTGTGCCAGCGTGCTCGCGTAGTCCTCAAAGTTTCGGAGCAAATGTGCGGTCCCGCTCTCTGTTCTTTGGATTTGGTCCCAGTGGTCCTTGGTGTTGGGATCCAGTATGGCGCTGCCTGCTCGCACCAAGTTCTGGAAAAAACACAAATTGCCAAGCTACGATTGAAAAAGGAATTTATATATTCAAATAAAAGCAGTAATGGGTAAAGTTGTTCACCCAGTGAGCATCAACCAGTGGAGGGCAGCATGCCACCAGTGTTCCCAGTGCTCACATCATATATATTTTTATAATAATTAAGTGCATAAGGCTACCTCATTAAACTCTGCATCCTTCATGGCGGTGAGATCAAACCCGGCCTGGCGGCTTTCGTACTGCAGAACATAATTCAGAAGCTGGGCGGCCATCTTCACGTCATTGCCGTAGTAATGTGACGTGTTATTGGTGGCACTTTGAAGCAAACGCACAATGGTCTTGGAGCGTTCGCTGTCCATCCTTGAACTGTTGCGGCGGAGATCGTCATTCTAGAAGAAGAGAGTGGAGGATGTAAAGAGAGGGAGAACGGGCAGGTCAAGGTAGGGAAAAGTTCCTCGGGTTCAGTCTAATAAAAGCCCCTGTCTGCTTTCATGCTTATTTCTGTCTTTTATTCACCAGTTTTTTCAGATGTGTGAAGGCGATGGTGGTGCAGTTGAAGAGCTCAGGTGACAGCCAGCCCTTCTCATCACTACAGTGGCGGATGGCAGTGCCTGGAAAAGAACAAATAACATAAAAAACAGAGGACATGGAAATCAATTTGCTCACAACTATTACCAACACATGAAGAGAGAAGAAAACACTGTGAGGAAATTCTGTTCTATAGCATTAAAATTGTGCATTTGCATTGAGGTAAAAATTTGCAAAAAGGGGCAAAAAGTGTAAGTGCAGTCATGTCAGAACATTTGACTGTTCTACTATGATCACATATTTTCTTGCTTACTTTAGAGATTTATGTTTTATTACGTGTTTGTCCATGTATGTTTTTTAAATAACGTATTTCATATCTTAACTACTTAGCAAATTTTATTGTTGCCTCAAACAGTTTTATTATCTTAAAATACTTTTCTTTCACATGAAAGTAGATATGAACTGCATGTTATCTGTTTGTACAGAGGAACGAAACTGACAACATTATAAAACCAAAACAAAAAAAAAACACAATTACATGAATAAATGTATATGCCAGTAAATGCATCAAAGGTGATATTAAAAAATCATAGACATTGTTGAATGTATAAAATGCTACATAAAAAAACTATATAGTTATATAATTATATAGTCCTGTCTTGCTTTTTTCATTTTGTATTTAATCATTCAATATTTGTTTCTAATTTTAATTTGTTTGTATCTTTTAATAGATTAGCTGGAGGCAACTATTTTGTATGGTAACCAGTCAGATAACAGGGACAAACTGACTTCCCAATAGACTTTGAATAACAGCCTCCTCACTTATATGAAGAATAAATAAAATATTCAATATTTAAATAAATGAAATTTTTAAAAAATGGGGAAAACAAACATAGCAACACAAAGGGAAAATTATACAGAACATATACATTTAAAATGTCACACTTTATATATTTAAAATAATTTTAAACACATTAATGATCACAAATAATTATACTATTCATTTTTGAACAGCAATTTTTCAGAAATTTATTTCTTAGTTATTTTTTGATTTTGTTAGTTGAGAAAGATTTGACTGGGCTAGTAAGTAGTAGTAAGTACTAGTAGTAGTATAGTAAGGACACACATTTTTTAAAAAGGCACAGCAAAAAACTCCAATCAGATCGTGATCAGAACTGTTCTGAAGATTTGCAGCACTTAAATACCTGATGAATGTAAGACCATTCTTTCCAGTCTCAGTGCTTAAATGTAAAACTACACCAAGTTTTTACAGTCAGGTGGTGTTTGGGAAAGTCTCACTGTTGTAAAGGGAGAAATGCCTGCCACTTGGAGCTAAAGGAGGGCACTGAGCAATGCTCACAAATAAATTCCCTATTGAGTGCTGGGAGACAACAAAAAGGGCACCATGGTGACTGCAGTTACCAAGGGAGTAACCAGGAAAGAGGCAACGTTTTACTGGGACAGGTCACTGACCGTGACTCTTGAGCTCACCTTTCTCATACACACAGTGAGCAAGAGGAATGGTATCGCCGCCAGCTCTTAATGTACCTGATGTACCTTTACACACAAACCTCTACATGATTGGCTGGTTAAAAAGCTCCTCTGGACTCATGAACCAATCAGGGTGCTTTATTGCTGTGTTGTTAAGCCTTGGAGAGTGAAAGACAGTGTGCAGTTAAAAGTACTCACCAAAAGATCCTTCGGGACATTTCATAGCAGCAGGGCGTCCAAATTTTGTCTTGGGCCACCAGATGCCAGAATCAAAGGCCTTTGGGCAGCCCTCATACACCACTGTGGACATGAGGGTAAGGCTTAAGAACAGTCTTAAAACACAGTAATTACTTTTTACATTGCACGTGGTATGATGCTTAAACTGGGCCTGCTAAAAACAAATCACAAACTGAGGTTCAATCAGCTAAAAAAAACAAAACAAAAAAAGCATCGCTTTAAAAGGCAAACGTCCGACCCGGCTGATCCGTTTTAACCACCTTATAAAACAGCCAGACGGAAAAACACACAGAAATTCAACCAAATTAATCCTGCAGAGCTGTTGCACAAGCTGCAAGACATAATTCATGTCAGCGTATTTGACAGCCAGGACAAACCAGATTTGGACCTGCAAGCTTGCACAAGCTATGATACATAACTTAGCCAGTGTACTTACTCCAAGCTTCTCCATTAAATACAATAAGAATAATTAAAATAAGGAGTGGTTGAAGGTCTTTTTTTTTTTAAACCAAATTAACTGTGAAGCTGTGTTTAGTCCAGAACAGATATTGTGGCATGAGGTCTATTAAAGGCAGCTACATCTTAGAGTCTTATGAATCTGAAAAAACGCACTAAATCCACTCCAACATTTTGGCTAAACAACAATACTCAGACCATGGATTAGGGTTTCATGTCCTTTAAAAGTCCAAGCACGTTCTCAGCCTCCAAAAGGCTTCCTATTAGGTCAAACAGTAAGCACACTGACATTCATTTTCTGTTCGGGGGCTTTGTCTTCTGTTCATCTCTACTGTATTGTGTGTGTGCAGTCCCGGTGCCAAGTTAGTCACTGAGCCAGACTTGCCTCTTCTGCATGACTGGGTGGTGACAAAGATGCAAAGTTAGCTCGACTGCAGCACCAGCAGATGTGAGCGACACCATTTGTCTCATTTTGACGCTTTGTTGAAGGAGCCGGACCCAGTTTGTGAACCGAGAACAGCTAGAGTTAGAATGCACCCGACTTTTGAAATGACCTTTTATTACTGTCCCCTTTAGTTATTCTGATCTGACCTTCATGGCGTCCTTTTTCATACACAGTTAATTATTCATGAGCTTCTATGGGACTCAATAAATGTCTATCTATATTGCATCCTGACTTATTCATTTTTAATCCTTAATCACAGAAGTTGAAGTGTACTCTTTTATAAAGGCTAATTAATCAATGATATTTCTACCTTCTCAAATATTTCTTTCACATACCTTCGCATCCAGTGGGAGTGACTTCAGCGAAGGGATTATCGCACTGGTTGCACTGACGACCGATAACTCCTCCCTTGCAGGGACATTGCCCAGTGATGGGGTCGCAGGTTCGAGACTCAGAGCCTATAGGGAAACAGTCGCAGGGGTAACAAGCGTCCTCTCCCTCTGGACGATAGTGATTATCCTGCAGGAGGTTTGGGAGAGAAGACACACATCACTGAGCAGGGAGGAGACTTTGAATATTACATGAATTTGCTGCTAATATGAACTAAAAACCTCCTTCAAGAAGAAACACTGTAATATTTGTAAAATCTATCTTATTATGTACGTATTTACCTTGCAGCGGCACTCCCCGGTGGTCTTGTTGCAGTTTTTATGAAATCCTCTGCTTGTGTCACAGTTACAGGGTCCACACATGGGACTGCCCCACCAGCCCTCGTGACATTTCTCTTCCACTCTGCCATTGAAGACAACAGTAGATGTCAAAATGAAACGCAAACTGCAAAGTACAATTACACGGAACAGAGATAAGGGTGTCGTGGCCAAGGCGTGCCCTTCTCTCCTCAACCTCTTTTCTCTCAAGATCAGCATTAGCTCAGAGCAGGTTAACTTGATAAGTGTAATTCAAGTGCTTTGATTATGTGATTATTGTTATTTGATTTGACTTTTGCTTTGCTCTGGCTAAACTTTAATAAAATATACTGGAGTCAAAAAGTCTAAATTGTGGACATTACCTTTTTAACTCTTGTGAAACACTAAAGGCAAAAACCTGTGTATTATTGTAACATTACTCAAAGGGTGAGGGGCGGGGCTTGACCAGAGGGCACCCTCGGCAACCACGCCTTCAGTGGTAGTAGGTAGTGGTAGTAGTAGACCTTCCTGTACTGGGTTTTGCCTGGTCGAGATCTGGTACCAGTCTGATTCCAGTTAAAGACACAAATCCTCTTTGGAGTTGCATCAGGAAGAGCATCTGCTGTAAAACGCTTCCAAATCAAACATGTAAATCTACCTGCTATGGTGACCCCTGTGACCAGGGTGTGGCTGAAAGGAGCTTTTCTAAAATGCCATGCACTGCGTGATCTGGTTGTGACATGCTGCTGACTCGGTATCAGCGCCTACAATCCAACAAACGGTCGATTATCTCTTCAGTTTATCACCAAATAAACAAATCTACAGTAAACTTCCTCTACACTTTTAAGCCAGTCACTCAGACACACACGGACTTTCTTTTTCTTCCTCGAGATGCGATCTCTGCCGGTGCAATGCGATCTGACGGAGGAAGAGCGGCAGGATGAGGGAAGCAAAGACTAAACACCTGTGGAGGAGCAGTCAAGCATTCAGGGGGAATCCCACATCCTGCTTAAGACAGGAAGTGATGCGTGTCATAGGGGACAGGGTTCACAGGGAAATGAGTGATTCTCGATCAGGGCTGGCTACTTTGCAGAAATGCTTACACCACTGCTCGACTAATTCCCAAATAAATGGCTGATCTGTCCCTCTCTCACTCTCAGGCACCCATACAAACACACTTGTCAGGCTCGGATTACTGACTAATAAAACTCCCCTGAAGGACCGGCAACAATACAGAATGAGAAAGAAACCTCAGTGAACCAAAGAGGATTAATGAGCTTTGTCGGAGGCAATATCCATGTTTAGTCTGGTTTGTTTATAACATCTGGATATTGTGTCTCGCACACAGGTCTGCTTTCAGTCTGCTAGCAAATTGATTCCATGTTATTAACATTTTATTACCATCTCAATTCACCAGAGCCAATGGAAGTATCTGACCTGGAGCCTATCTTCAAAGCTACCATTCAAATATCACTGCATTGCTCCAGTGGCGTTATACAAGTTGTACATGTGGTGTGCAAGAAAACCCTTCTCCCTGCTTGCCCTCAGAAAAAAAAACCTTACTTGTTTTCACAGTACTGGCCGAAGTAATTTTGTCCACATTCGCAGGTGTAGCCGTGGGAGGAGCTTGGTTTGCGGACGCACGTGGAAACGTGCTCACAGGGGTTGAGCTTACAAGCGTCCACGCACTGTTTCCCAAAGTAGCCTGCAGGAAAGACAGACAAACAAGAACTGAATTCAAGCCTAAAGGCGTGAAATACAGATGTTTACGTTCACACACTTTCTTAAGAGGCAACATATTGAGCTCTCTCAACCAACTTATGTATGTTTTTTTGCTTGTGCATCTTACCTGGGTCGCAAGCACAGGTGTGTGTGCTCCAGTCGTCAATGCACTGGCTATTCTCTGGGCAGATGTTGGAGTCGCACGGGTCAGCCAGATCACAGCCGTTTTCCACACGGATCTTCAGGCCCTGAGCCATGTTCACATTGGCCACGTTGTTGGATGTCTCACCCATACGCACACCCTAATGGATAGCACACATTCATGAGGGAGACGATCAGGAAAGAAGGTTGAAGAAGAAATAAAATGTGACATTCAAAGTGCACGCCCACCCACCTGTATGCAGCCAACAAATCCTTTGATGACATCGTTTCTCTCCCCGGGCAAACCTCCAACATGAAGAGTTTGCAGCTTGAGGCCTGGGAGGTCATTGCCGATCTCGACTGACTTCTGCTTAAAAATAAGACAATAATTAAAATTAATACAACCTTTCTTGACTACCTTTATCATCTCTAAAGTAAGACGCCCTGTACCTCATACATGCCGTAGTCCAGAGAGACAGCTGCCATGTATTTGATTTCCTTGCCATCTTTGATGCTTTTCAGTTCAATCAGCAAGTGGTGCCACTCCCCGTCATTGACACGCACTTGAGGAAAGCTCAGCGATGCCACCAATTGGTGCCTCAGCAACACTTCCATATGGACCCGCTGCTCACTCACCTGGAAAGGGGGGGGGGGGGGGGGGGTGCAGAAACTGAGCACTTCCCACTCATTTTAGAGGTAGTCTAGAACCTGTATACAAGCTTAAATTGCAAACTGCTGAGGGTGACAATTTTTCCAACAATGCTTCTTACCATGAGGTTGATGGTAGAGGAAGGCCCAGCATTGACCTGCATCAGGGTGCCAGCAGGACGCCGGGTGCGGAACATTAGGCCAATATACCAGGGAACAGCAACAGTGATGTCCGGGTTGCTCCAAGACACCAGTGCCTCTCCGCCAAAGAACTGAGGTGATGGCATCACTGGGAGGGACGAGAATCAGGTCGTGCGCACAAACACATTAGTGTTTGAAATAAATGTGTTTAAAAGTCAGATGAGAACTGTAGGAACTACATATGAATCAACGCAGCATTAAGCATAAGAAAACATTTTCTGTGGCTGTACATAGCAACCATAGGTAAATAGTAGCAATGACTTTTCTGTAGTTTTTTGGGTTATTTTTAGCTTTACACCTTTTTTTGTTATTTGTGTATTTGTCTATTTTTTAGATGTCATTTAAAACACGCAGTTGCTTTAGTTCTTTTACTTCTATATTTTGGTTGCAGTGTTGAAATGATGAGTTTTTTTCCAGCATTTACGTTCCAGCATGTCATATAATTACTACTTTATTCTGGAAAATAAAAGCTTACTTCCCAAAAAAATTCTTCCATGAGCATAGTTAAAAAGAATTCTTAAAGTCTAATTAAACTCCTACAGATGTGAGTTTTTATCTAAGCTCTAATTTGATGCTGAGTAAGCAAACAATGTCCTCGAGCTGTCTGCTCTCCTGAGGGTCGATCTCAGTAGGGCACGCAGTGTTTCCACCTCAGCTATACCATGTTCTCTGGTCCCCAGGCTACATACTTCAACTGAAGCATTCACAGATACACTCACACAAAAGCTGTAATTATGAGACAAGGCATTTATTTGTTCATGGTAGCAGGTATCTATTGTGACTTTAGTCTCCTTTGCTGAAGCTTAGTCCTCCGCGAACTAAAAAAACCCTCTTCACTGGCGTAAATTCTCTACCATCTCACACTTCTGTTTAATCATTTTTCTGTTTGATGTTTATTCAGCTGTGTGAAAACCAAGGAGGAGTTTTATTTTATTTTATCTAATCCAATCTAATAACTTTAATCTCATCCAAACCGATTTACTCGTGAACAAATAAAACACTGAAAAAAGTCAAACAATAACATTTTTAGGTTATCTAAGTGACTTATATATTACGTTTACTCTGAGTAGCGAAAGTCCGCGGTGATCTGAAAATGATGTGCCGGGAGTTTGCCGTTCGACCCTCGAGCTGGTGATTAACAGATGTCTCAGAAAACGTCGAAGCACTTTTGCAAATTTGCAATATCTTGATAAACCGAGCAGATATTTGAAGTTTGCACTCCCACATTCTCGCCTGAAAATATGTTAAAAGTTTATTTTGTGACCCAGAAAGATTAATAAGAGTAATTTTAAAACTTAGTAGCGGCCACCATTGCCGGAAACTGGAGTTTGGCTGGGCCGCACTATGAATTTTGGGATATGGTGGGCCACGAAGGACACACCCGACCCATCCTTCAAATTCGGGGAAAAGGAGGATGCATTTGTCGGCTGCATTCGGAGGAGACTACGAATTTGGACAGCCTTCGGCGCGTTGCTGTGACGTAATCGGTCTACAAATGCGGCCTCAGGAGGATGCAGCCCATGAATTTGGACACCCCCATAATCTACAGCCATGCCATGACGGTGGTCTAAGTGAAATGAAAGCATGTTGGTATTCTAATATGTTAACAGAACTAAAAGAAAAAAAAAATTAGCATGCATCTGTTAGCATGCTAATCCATGCTAATTAGTTCTAAAAGTGTTATGTAGGCTAACCCAGAGTTTGACTTAATGGTGCTAGCTGAAATGTCACAGAAAACGTTAGCCTCTACGGACCATGAGTGCCGATCAGAATTGACTTTAAGTCCTAAAACACTTACAGTAGTAGAGTTTAAATACATTAAGATATTTTAGTCTGGACAGCTTCATGTCTGGAGTCACAAGCGGTGTTGGTAGCTGGGCAACATTAAGAGAAACAGATAAAAGCTAGAGGTAAAGATAACACCTCAGCTAATATGAGTTGCTGAAATGGACTTGTTGATGGTTTCTATTATATATTTATCTGATAAAAATAGGTGATAAAATGAGGTTCTTGAAGTAAAAATCCCATTCATATTCTCCATACAGATTCTTATTATGGTCATTATGCTGTGGACTCAAGACTGTTCATTGTCACTGTTAGCATACAGACGGACACAGTATGCTGAAATGCCATGTCCTTCGGGTCTAGGTGGTGCTGGCTAGTTTGGACATGAATAAAATATATTGAGAAAAATTAAAATACACAAAATATACTGTATTATGAATACTAAAAAGAAAATGGCAAAAACAATGGCAACCACAGCGCTACCCGTCAGCCTCCTAGTAGACACCTACACCTTCTCAACTTATCGCATTTACGTGTTTTTCAGAAAACTTACTCTGACCTTTAGGTCGGTGTCACTGAGATTTGACCTTGTCAGAGATTTTTAGTAGATGCTCCTACGGTATCAATTTGCTCCTATGACACCTCGTTCTCCAGTTATTGCATTCTCAAACGATAATACCCCATCAGCCTTTTAGAACAAAAAACATCTAACTATGTATCTGAGGCATTTCTGTCTGTGCATTGCACTCCATCTTGTAATCTAAATATGATCACCTCTGGCTGCAGAAGTCATTGCAATTGCTACCGCCATCTTTTACATACAGTCTGTGGAATGATAGTGAATGCACATTAGAGCAATTGAACCAGGTCTAGGGACGGATTAAATTTCTTAAAAAAATACACACACACACAAAAATAGCAAAGTCCAGTAGTTGGTATCAGAACAATCAAACAAAACCAAGCCAAGTGGGTGACTACCAGGGAGATTCTGTCTCTTTGTGTCAGTCTAGTCTTGACGATTTTGGCTCCACAGCAACAAAATCTCACGTTTCTCATGTGGCAGCGAAGTGTGTGAAGCCTCAAACCAAATGTGTCAACAAGCAGCCTAGCAGCCAAAACCTCTTCCCGGCTTGCTATGATCCCGGCCCAGTTCAGATACAGGATACTAGGGCCTGGCACTGACTGGGCGGCTACCTCATAGACGAGAGGGCGAGGATAGGTATTCACACCTTTACATATTGTTTGGAACTCGCCCTGAAGCAAGGATTCAAAGATTCAACTTTTTATATAAGAACACGAGAGGGGTTATGGAGAATAAATAATAATAGCTGTTGGCAGATAGAGATGTGGATATCAAGATACCCTTAACAAAACCATTACCTTACACTTTATCTTTCAATATTGTTATCTGTGTACTCTGATTACCCATCTATTTACATGTACCTTTTCCATTATAACATAAGCCACTAGTCACATGTTGGCTGAGGAGGCATCAAAGACAGCTATGCGATCTTAGAGCTGATATCACACAGAAATTTGAAATCTGTTACACTTTATTTCCATCTTCAGTCTGATACTGTGTGTTTACTCTAATGAATTTCCAAGGATGAGTCCTAATTAGCCAACAGTGACCAGTGTTTGTGGCTTAATGCCTCAGTCTCGTGCACGCACAGCCATGCAAATTAGTAGTGGTAGTGAAGTGAACTTTGAGAGGCTTCCAAAAAAACCTACAATCCAATTTTCCCCATTGGAAGTGTTCAGCTTGACAGTGTTTAGCAACATCTTTAGTCCCGCCCATGGTGCTGATTGGCTAATCATTAATTCCACCATAGCTCTCATTGGACTTTTTAAACTGAAAACCTACCATCACATGTCACCATGCCAGATTAATCAGTAAGAGCATGCAAAATTGAAATTTTCACAGCCCCAGGTGAGTGTGTGTTTATCTTTCATTTCAATCTGTGAGTCTGGGTTTTGATAAGTGACTCAGAGCCAAAGTTTGATCTTTTGTCCGAAAACTCCACACCTAAGGCTGTGGTGAGTGATTCTGGTGAACACAGGCTGCGTGAGTCACGCTGAGTCAAAGAAAATGCTCCTTATCCCATGTGATCCCCCAAACACACACCATTTCCTGGAAATAGGTAAACAAATGTACACACACACACACACACACAGATGAGCAAGCGGACACTTGCACCTTTGGCCAGAAACACGTCTGTCTATGAATGCAATAATATATTTGATTGATTTTGCAAACTCATAAGGAAGCACAATGGATTTATTTTACACTGGATTCCCCAAATCCCCAAACACACTGTCCACTTTTGCTAAAAAAACTAACCAAATCACCCACACACATTTCTTACCTTGCTCACAGTTCTTGCCACCGTAACCAGTAGGGCAGTCACAGATGTAAGTGTTCCACTTGCTGACACACGTGCCTCCGTTTTGACACACACCATTTGTGCAAAAGTCTTTCTTTGCTGGACACCCTGAGCATATAAAAGTAAATAAAATCAGGGGAAATTTAAGCTTCGTTTTTGATGACAGCTTTAAAAGTCGGTTCCAGAAATGAGCAAGGATAGAAACGCTGCAGAGGGAACATCTTAACCTTCTGTGGTGCCGTTGTTAGCAATGAAGCTGCCCATGTCGATGGGCTTGCTGTCGATGCGCAAGTTTCTCATGCAGCCTACAAAGTTCCTGTTCCTGACTGGGAAATCCTCTGGCAGGTTGGGAACCCCACCCAGTAACAGCGGCCCTGTCAAGTCCAGTGATCTGCAAGAAAATGCAGACAGACCATGAATGAGACAAATCAAAACTGCAAAATCTTCAAAGTGGGTCTTTTGTGATCTTTTTCACTTACTTTTAGAAAATGGAGTTAAAGAGAGTAGTTTTGGCTTTGGTGTTTTAGCTGCTCCCTCATTCACCTACACTATGATCGGTATTTCTGGTTAAAGGTTATTGTTTTCAAAAGCCATCACAAAGCAGCTAAAAGGCAGCATTTCCAAGGTCAGATTTAACGTACTTGGTCATATATGAAGCCGCTTACACCCAGAGCTTCTGAAACCATCAAAATCAAAGGCCTAAAGACATTTACGTGGGACATTAAATGTGAATTTTGTTCTTACGGTCTAAATCAGCGGATCCCAACCGGACTGGTACCGGCCCGTGAGTTGTTTGGTACCGGCCCGTGAGTCGTTTGGTACCGGGCCGCGAGAGTTGAGGCTCGGGTGTGAAATTTATGGTTTTCAGGGTTTTTATCGTTAACTCTGTTTACCCTGGGTCTTTTCCCGCGTTGTAGATGTGTGGCTTATTTTGAATTAAATATTTACGCGTTACCATAGCGACCAGAGAGCATTAAGGGGCAGAGAGGAGGATGTTACTCTCATTTCAGGAGGACGCTGCTAATAAAGTTACACAATTACACAGTGAATTCTCGTTTATTATTATATTTACAAAATACCACAGTTTTTGTCTTGGTCGTATCATTTTATTTTGTTGTATTTATCCGCGACACCTTTAAGCCCGTTCTGTGCAAATACTGCCTGACATTAAACCGGTCTGTGGTGCAAAAAAGGTTGGGGACCGCTGGTCTAAATAACATCGCCTGGCTGGGAGCACGAAGGGCTCAAACCATGAATCTTCTAGACGTTCAGCAAATCGGCAGAAATCTGCAGGCTTCTTTGAACCAACGTTCAGCCATAAACTTCAGCGCTCTTGGGTGATGTCTTAACAGTTATCTAGAAAGTTCAGATTTTCGTTTTGTTCTTTTATTTAAATACACAAGAATGCAAAAACCATAGTGTCAGACACTCAAAAGCCCCAAGTTCAACTTACAGCTATGATCCAGAATTCATTTGTATGAATATTAATATAAATATGTAGCAGTAGAGTTAATGGGTTTTGATTTTTTTTCTGAAGTATTGAAGGAATCCGTGTTATGGATATTTGTGAAAAGATACCCAGTACAGAGACTCCAGTGTCAATACAGACTTGTAGGATATATTAAACTAGTCTTTAAATCCCAAAGGTTTCTTTTTCATAAATTTGTTGGGGTTTTTTCCCAGATACTCCTGAAATTTACAGCAAGAAATATTGTTGGGAAATCCCACCCAGCACTCTACAGTTGTGTCAGTGGATTCATGTTTTTCTGCCTCAACAGGACTCACTCTGCAGCTTAAGCCACACTCTGGATTCTGTCAAGACAGCTTAGAAAGTGAAACCTCTCAGGCTCTCGCCACTTTCCACCACATAAGACGCAGCGGTCTAATTATTCCAGCGTGATCAAATTAAAGCATCCTCAAAACGCCTCGCAGCGTCTGTGACCGGTGCAACAAGCTCCTGAAAGTATGTAAGCTCATTAGCTCCCCTTTGAAGCTTTCTCTCTCGCTTCCTTTCAGTCCCCACCCTCTACAAAGTAAATGGGCCTCAGCATGCAAGCTTTCCAAAAGAAAAGGCACACTGTAAAAATATAAATTGATGAGTGTGTAATAAACACACAGTTAATCCTGTAAAGCCTGCGCTGAGATGAGCTTTTGGTTGTCTGACAGCAGAGAGACCACACGGATGAGCACGGAGATTAGGAGATAAAAGCGGGAGAAGATGGCAGAATGTGAGTTGTGTAATCTGCTGTAATGAAGGCGAAGCCCCCGAGGCGCAACACATTCCCTCATTAGTCTGACTAGTTTGAGTGAATGTGTGTGGGAAGAGGTCCAGAGAGAAAAGAAAGAAAAGAAAGTTGGTGAAAGAGGTTCCCTCTTACTTCTTCTGTCCAATCTGGGTACCCTGCGCGGCGCAGGAGTAGTTCCCGATCTGCTTTCCGAAGCGGATCGCCATGGATATGTCACAATCGTCAATGGCGACCATAGCCACTTTTTCTCCGGACGGTCCAAAAGGGTTCCCCACGCTCACCATTTTAGGCTGAAACACAGAATGAAACAGATCACGGTCATTCATCGGCATTTAAGAATGATAGTGGGGATTTGAGAAATCCCACTAACTGTATCTTATTCCCTGCGTGAGTGTGCTTTGTTACAGTAAATTGCCTCAGCTGACTGAATTCGGTTAAAACATTTAATGCTCGATTTCTTTCTTTGTTTCCTTTCACACAATGTTAGAAATCTGGCAGGGGCGGCAGCGCGATCAGCGCGGGTCAGCGCTACACAAACAACGTCTAGCTGACTTTAGCGGCGGCGCTCAGGCCTCTCTGGGCTTAAGATGACAAAAAAGCCCATTGTGCATTAGCTCGCACCTAATGATTACAAAGTAGCCTAATTCTTCCATCAAGGCCCGTGGCGGACGAACGCTGATCTGAGAAAATGTGGCTCGGCTTAGAAAATCAGGCCACACAATCGCTTTCGAGTTTCTAATATCGAACCTGAGAGCAAAGTTCAATGGAGCATTTCCCTAACAATAGCAGCTTTGGAACAGGAGCAGAGTTAAAATCCAAAAGAGTTTCCACCAGGAAAAAAAAGGCAGTGCATTCATGGTTAAAGCTGAGATTTATTTCAAATTCTTTACAAATGAAGCACTCGTATCTTCTTGTCTTGCGTTGAGTGCCTTACAGCAGATGGAGTCATAAGTTATGTCACTCTGCTATCTCTACTAGGGTTATGGTATATTTCTGCAGTGCATAAAGACGGCGGCACTGAAGCTCTGAGATCTGATCGTGGCGCTGTGTTTATATAAAGTTTACATAAGGCTGACAGGCTGAACAATAGCAAGAGATGCTTTCTAACCACTTAGCAATAGGGGTGGAAATCAGAGAAACTACACCGAAGCGCCTGAAACATCCGGGGAACTGAAGGAGAGCAAAACACCCCCTCAAAACTCTGAAAGCAGGGATCAAGTATTTATTCTCAACACTGTGATATCAGGGTTTACGTGTCTAGTTTAGTATATTTAATGAACCTGAGTGAAGGCTTTATGGTTACGTATGACTCTGCATTATTTTAAGATGAAAAATTAATGCAATAGAAGAGATGAGGAGACACAGATAGAAAGAAAGTGTGTGTGTGTGTGTGTGTGTGTGTGCATTCTCTGCTACATTAATCGGTGTAGAGTAATGAGATACTGGTGGGGCTGATACAGGAAACAAAAGAAGAACACAGAGGGGGAAAATGGCAAAGGACAAAAAAAAGGAAGTCCAGAGAAAAGAGACAAAAGAGAAAATGGCAGACGGGCAAAAACTGAGCAGCACAGGGCTGCACTGTCTTCTATTTTGGCTCAGGTGGGCTCCGGTCCAGGCATAACTCTAACCCACAGGGAGGGTTTTTTGATCACGGCCACTCCCTTCAAAATGCCCCCTTTCCACAGATTCTACAAAACACACTTTCACACTTTCAATAAGAAAAACAGGAAGCATTGCACGTCTGACACCGCTGCTGTTTTCTTTCTCTTTCACATGTAATCTCATTTGTACAGGCTTTAGGTGGAAACGTCGTGCACACATACACATAGAGACACAGACAGAAAGCACGAGGCCTTATCGGGCATATCAGGCATGGTTGAGCAAGGCATCATGGATGAATTCTCTCATTTTTGCCCGTCTAGGATTCATAGAGTGAATCGATATGAACAAACAGTGAAAACGACATCAAAATTCTCCAGAGTCCAAGGATGTGTCTTAACAGGCTTTACTTTCCTTTTCTCCACACAACAAGCAGCAACTTTAACGTCTGAAAAATGAACATGAAAAACGAGCACATGTGCTAAAAAATGGAGACAGCAGTTCCTTGATTGGCCGCTTGGATCCGGCCAATTTAACAGCAAAATAAACACGTTCACAGCCTGCTGCAACAAACTCTTCTGGTCTTTGTGGCTACTTTTCCCATGAAAACCAGCTAAATAATCTTGTCAAATCTGACCGTCACTTCAGTTCGTTGACTTTAAAAGAAGGCTATTGCCTTCAGGTTTCTAAATTTGAGCCTCTGGGTGACAACAGACCAGGTGGCTGCTACCACATGATTAAATTCTCCCCTCCCAAATAATTAGGTGGTTTGGTTCAAACAGCTTGAGCCGAGTCTAAAACCCGAATCACAAAAATGTAAGACCAAGAGGAAAATATGTGATTGAAATCGTGGGTCCTGCTTTTGTTCCTCACTGTCTGAACAAAACCCAGGCTCACTAAGCTCACTGTAGGCAGGTGACACCCCACAAACTCCAAATATGAACCTCTTGCTGGCTGAGCGCGATGCTTTATCGCTGAAAATCTTCAAATGTCAACGTCATTAGTAAGTTACGTAAGTTGGACTGTTCCTCCTGAGCGGACATGTCGGCAGCCGTGATGAGACGCTGCACTTTGGGAAACCTGCTTCCTAGCACCACTCAGATGAAGGAGTTAAGACACAAAGTATGTGCTTGACAGGCTCGTGGCTGATTTGACCCTGATAATAACGAGGACCTTTACTGCTTAACCCCGCTGTGAAATATGCACAAAAATGTCCCCTGTGGGCCATTTGTGATTAGGGGCACCACTGGACTCCAGAGGAAAATAAGAGCAACATGTGGCTTTCTAAGCTGTAGAACAGGGTTGTCAAACATAAGGCATGGGGGCCAGAATTGGCCAGGTGAAAACTCCAATCCGGCCCACTGGACAAATTTGAAAAATATGAAGGAAGAGATAAATTTGGGGCTTTTAACTATATTTTTCAACTTTTCTTACTCCACCATGGCCATTCATTTCACACCAATTAAGGAATAGAGAAACAATTAAATAGCAGGGTTTTTTTCACTGATTATACTGCACTTCTTTTTCTTATACTGAGATATTTCAAGGATCAAATGTGTCATTAAAAATCTTTACATTGACACAAGGGGAAGTTTCACTGGTCCGGCCCACTTAAGATCAAAGTGGGCTCTATGTGGCTCTATGATGAGAAATGAGTTTGACATCCCCGCTACAGAAAGTGTTTGCACAGTGTTAGAAGAAGCTAAACAGACCTAGGTTTAAATGATCCACATACACACATTATGTATTCTTACATTTTTAGAGCTGCATTTTTATAAAATCTAGAGTTGATCGCATTCAGATTTGATCAAAAATAAAAAAATAAAAACAAGGAAGGAGAAGTAGAAATGATCCGCTTTCTTTCCTCGAGCACTTTAGATAAAATGAGATTTTAAAAAATGAAACTAATGATTAAACAATGTAAATATGAGCAAGCGTGGGAGCAGTGCTGGAGAAAAGCCTTTAAAGGGTGAAACAGAAGGTTCTTGACCTGCAGCTGCTCCGATTAACGTCTTATCAGCATCTCTTTAGATTTCAGTGGATGGCGAAATAAAAGCAGGGAAAAAACAACAAAGCTGGGAAGAAGAAGAAGAAGGAGAAGAAAACCCGAAACCCGGACTCTTGCAGCTGTTACAGGTGCTGATCACACAGTAAACTCACATGGTATAATGTACACTACATTTACTTGGAGCCTGTGTGTGTGTGTGTGTGTGTGTGTGTGTGTGTGTGTGTGTGTGTGTGTGTGTGTGTGTGTGTGTGAGATACTGAGAGCATAAAGAAACATCGACACACACACAGAGTCAAAGTGGACGTGCTTTAATACGTGAATGTTTTTGTCACTGTGTAATGCATACTTGCAGCTAAAACTAAGACTCTGCTAATTCATGTAAAGCTGATCACGAGCTAAAGATATGGGTCAGCGATGCATTCTGTGTGTGTGTGATGTGTAAGCATAGTTCAGAGTTTAAGGTTTAAACGAGACCAAGCAGAAAGAGTGAACGAACGTTGGTCATGTATCCCAGAGATATCAAAAACATCAGTTTTTGTTAACAGAGCTTTGAGCAACAAGAATGTTTCCGGATCACCAGAAATTCCTTTAAATAAACATATTTTCCTATATTCTGCTGAATAAGACTTGAGACTTCACTGATTGCCCCAGAAGCAGCAGACTCAGGGCTGACAAAGGCCCCACAAGTCAGCCACTCGCCATAAACTCCCACGCTCAAGCACCAGATGTCGAAAATGGAATTAAAATGTTTAATCAGCCTTTTTGGTCTCCGTAGCCATCTTTGGTGATTGGATACTGAATGTGATGACGAGGGTGTGGATCTGACTGCGAAGCTGCACGCTCATTGGCTAAAGATTTTAAAGACTTTAACCCTGTCCTTGGATTGACCATAAATTTAAAAAAATGTAATTGGGATTGCATTCAATATGAAGTCTTCTATAAAAGTCATTAAGAGAATGCAGTTTGGGCCCCACTATAGCTCACCGTGCACTGAAGGGCGGAGTCCTTACTGGAGTCTGCTCTGGGCCGCTATATGTGGCACCCACCCCTCCAATAACACACACACACACACACACACTTCTGTCCCCACCTTCTGCTCAGCACTGTTGTCCAGTAAACTAACGGACAGTTTACATCTTTTGTGTATTCACTTTTCAGATCCAGAAGTTACATCTATCTTTTACCGTGTCTATGGATGTATCTGTGGATCCCTACTGGCAGAGTTGTCATGTCTGTATGGCATAAACAGCCCAACATCTGATCAAAACTAGTCTACTAGTTGCGCCGAAGTCTGCCATCTGTCAAAGTTTTAGAGTTTACGCAAATGCAAAATCAGTTTGTGCTGCTACTACTTTTGTTTTTATGAATTCCCATTTAAATTGCTGTAAAATGTTGCCATGTCTATAACTGAACACTAAGTGTGCCTGTTAGCTTCAAACATGAGCTGCTTCAGGCTTCTCTCTGACCCCTTCTTTTAAAGTGCACTTGGCCCTCGCTTTGAGGGGCCCCATGAGAGGCTCTCATTTACCTTCCGCCTGACTCGGGCCGTTGAGGATTCCCTCTCTCTAAGGTGTCGTCTCCAGGGGTGATAGGCTTGCTGCAGCCATGGCAACGCACTTGATCCCCACAGCTTACCACAAAGACGAGGAGGGCGGAGGGCATGAGGTGATTGGCCGAAAACCC